ATAACCAATACTAGAGCTTTTAAGACAAATAGGGAAGCATCAGATAAGGATTTCTGAAAGCCAAAAAAGTGAAGCACTTGAAAGAATTTGTCAAACCAGGATCTTGGAGCCTGTTTTAACCCATAAAGGGATTTTTTGAGCTTGCAAACATGATTAGGAAAAGAAGGATCATTGAACTCTGGTGGTTACTCCATAAACACATCCTCTTTGAGATCTCCATGCAAAAAAGTATTACTAATGTCCAACTGATTCAAGAACCAATTATACTGGACTGCAATGGACAATAGAATTTTTATAGTGACAAGTTTTGCCACCAGACTAAATGTTTCCTTGTAGTCCAAGCCTTTTTGTTGATGAAGCCCCTTGGCCACAAGTCTGACCTCGTATCTATCTATTGAACTATCATGATGTTTCTTTATCTAGAAAACCCATTTACATCTAGCCACATTATACTAAAAAGAAGAAGGAACCATAGTCCATGTTCCCGTGGAGAGGAATGCATTAAACTCCTCTTGCATTGCAGTTCTCCAATGTGCATGCTTAGATGCTTGCAAGTAAATGGAAGGAATAAAGACTAGGGAGGAAAAAATAGGATGTTTTGTGGCTGTGTAAGCATATAGTTTATAAATCCCTACTTTAGACCTTGTGATCATGGGATGGTTATTTGTAGTGATAGGAGAATGAGAAGTGATAGGTGTAAGAGAAGATTGATGTGGAGGAGAAGGTTAAGTTGGAAGTGGTGCAGAGATTTCTGAGTTGGATGCAAGATGTATAGGAGATGAGTAATTGATGCGAGATTTATACGCACACAAATTAAACCCTCTTTTTGTCAATTGTAGTATAAGTATAAGTAGGGATCGTTCTAAACCGGGGATTAGGAGGGATTACTAAATCACTTGGAAACTGACTCAAAAATGTAAAACAAACATTAAAACACTAAAACAAATCAAAAGACTCAAAGAATACAAAACACTTATAAACACAAACTAAGACACTTTCTAACTAAATTGGACACTAAAGTAAAGGGGGATTGAGATTTTGACGAAAATAAATTAAATGCACAAATTGTAATTTAAAGGTAGAATTTAAATATGAATGTGATGAAATATGGAATGAATGCTAGCTAAGGGGTTCTTCTCCACACATGTTATACTTGCATACAAGATTGATTCTCAGTTGGTCTTTCGATAAATTATGAAACTCAACACTCCGGATTAATTAGGTCCGCTTAAATTAACCGTCAAGTTTTCCTTAAGTTAATGAATTGGATGGGTTTGCGCAACGCAATTCACAACATTCTCCAAAAGTCCTTTACGTGAACAGCACAATAAAGATACAATCAAAGATCATTAAGTATTATGAAAACTATAAGTGTTGACGAGGCATTCGTTACTATGATGAGCATGAAACTCGTGCCAAGAATTCATTTAACGCGATTGTTTATAAGCAACCTCCACTACTTGTGAATATAAGTTCATAACGATTAGGTGAAAATCACTTATATTCTAGCGTCATATTTATGCATGAAAATTAAGCGCGCATTCTTAATAAACATTCATAAATAAGTTATCAATCAAACGGTTAAACAAATTGAATCCACAACTTATGAAATTCCAACGAAAGTTAATCAATTCATATTGCAAATATAAACATAGTTTCGAATCACCCCCTAGCTAAAGGGGGATTAGTTCCTCATACCTTTGAAATCAAAGAAACACCTAAACATTCCAACAACTCAAAACTTGAATTGTATGAACGTTTAAGCACTCTTCTCTTCCATAAAACAAAGAGAATTAAAATGAAACTTTGAAATCAAAGAAACACCTAAACATTCCAACAACTCAAACTTGAATTATATGAACGTTTAGGCACTCTTCTCTTCCTCGTTGTTGTAGCACAAGGTTTAAGGATAGGTTGGTTGGGGGGATGGAAGTGTGGAATGGAGTGGAAATGGAGAAGATGGAGAAGATGGAGAAGGGGAAGTGTTTGTGTATTACAATGGAAAATGAGATGATTTGGTGAATGGAATGAATGGGTATTTATAGGAAGAGAATGGGTGTTAATGGATGTTTGTTTAAGGTATTTGGTGGATGGGAAAAGGTGTGGATGGTGGGAATTATGGTGGATGGATGGTTTAGTGGATGTAATTTAGGGTTTATTTAGGTGAATGTGGATGCATGGTTTAGTGGATGTAAAGGATAATGGGATGGTGTGGAATTAAAAGCTAAAAAAAATGGGATAATGGGCATTTAAGTGTGAATGGAATGGTGGGACGCACTAATGGAAATTATGAAATGGAATGGTGGGATGCACTAATTAGGAGGAAGAATTAGGGTGAAGGGCTTAATGCATGGATTTGGGCCAATTAGGGTGAAGGGCTTAATGCATGGATTTGGGCCTAAAATGCCTCCCCTTGCATGGCAGGGGAAAGGACTTGGGCTAAAGCCCATGGCAATGGCTCTAAAATGGGCTAAGGTTAGGGTTTAGGTCATCTAAAAGCCCAAAGCCAAGAATAGAAACTCACGACAATGGAAACCTCCAAGAATAGAAACTTCCAACTTTAGAAACTTTGGTTACCAATTCCGACTTCCTTGCTCTTCACTTTCATTTCTTCATTTCTTAAGCTCCTTTGACCTTCAACCTCGTTCATTCCTCGTGCTCCATTTGCATACACCACATTCCAGCTCAGTTTTGCTCCAAAAGCTCCCAATTGCATCATTTCATGTAATATGTCCTTTAAACCTGAAAACACATGAAAGTAGCTTAAAAGACTACTTTAACGAATAAAACATAACAAAAATGCATAAGAACTAGCTAACTAAGGCGCATAAATATGCTCCTATCAAATTCCCCCACACTTAGCTTTTGCTAGTCCTCGAGCAAAACAAACAAAAGAAAGAAAACAAAACGAAACAAACTAACCAAAACCAAAAACTAAACCTTCCAACGTTCGCCTCAGGGATTTCCAATGAAACATGACATGTCAAAATTCATTACTCACATGGCTTTTAGTCTTCCTTTCCCTCAAGCACATACTTAATCATAGTCACCATTCACTAGTTCGCATTTAATCAATTAAAACATATTTTGAATGTAGTAACATGCCTTAGAGAATTCCCTCAATTCCTCACTCGTTATGCACTCAATTTTCACTCAAATTTTCTGACTACACACCCTACACTAGTTATATGTGAGAAGATTGATGTAAACATGAAAGACTAGTACTCACATACGTTATACAAGGAAAGCAATTTCGGGAGTAATTAAACGTGTATGGATATGATCTCATGAATGAGATGCTACTACTTAGATGCGAGAACCAGTGACACCATATGCTCATACCAAATTCAAACTCCACATTTGAAATGCACAACACTCAAGATAGAAGTCAAGGGTTGTAACGGGGCTTGGGGTTTTGGCTAACAAGGGAAGGTAAGGAATAACAAACGTTCTTTAAGCAATAATAAGTAAAGTAATGAAATTAAGACCTAGAATTCCCTTAGAATGCAGAAATCAACTTTTAAACAAATAGGGGAGATTCAAACAACTCTTAGGGCCTAATTCATTGTTTTGGGCCCTTACTTCAACAACCAATACTTTTCAACTATTTTCAACTCTTTTTCCATTTTTTTCTTTTTTTTTTTTTTTTTTTTTTTTTTTTTTTTTTTACCGTGCCTATGGCACAAAAACTCACATGAATACACTTTCCCCCACACTTATTTTCTGCACACATTAATCAAAGGGAATTCATTCATGCTTACTATGCTTCAAGAACAAGGGTACGGATGGTCCTAATCTAGGCTAGGTGAAGATAATGTGGGTTAACAAAGAAAGTAGGCTACACAAGGCTCAACGGGGTTAAATCCTATAAAACAAATGAAAAGGGAAATATGGCAATTTGGCTATGGTGTTCACTACACAACTTCATCTTGAATACGTGTTATGCAAATCAATGACATGCTTTGAATGAAATGGGCATGAGTTCTAGCATTTGGAACTAAGTGATGAAACGCCTTCTAAGTAGCAACCAATCAAAGAATAATGAGATCATGCAACGACTTTAGAAAACAAAGAATGCACAGATTTTAACTCTCCAAATAAACGTTTAAGCTCAAGTCTCACAGGGATGTAGTGTTAGTTTGAGCTCATTCCTTCAAGCATGTTATAAAAACTAATTTTTTTCTTTGTGATTGCATGTGAATTCGTGAACTATAACTACAACCAAGCATAAACCAAAGAGTATATCAAACGTCCATCCATGTTTGTAACTTTCTTTAACCATCATGCAATTAAAAACCAAATCCTCATCATTGCGTTGGAAGGTGACCTACGACACAAACACACAAAAACAACTTAAAAACAACTCTTTTTGGGTTTTTCAAAACAATTTTTCAAATTTTTATGGGATTTTCGAATTTTTAAGTCAAAACACACTAAAACAGTTTAAAAACATTTTAAAACAGCAAGGAACAACACTTGAAGTTATGGGTGATAAAGTCCAACAAATTTTGCATCAACATACTTAGTTACCCTCCCACACTTAAATCAAACATTGTCCTCAATGTTTTAAGCTTAAAACACACCAAACAAAAGAAAACATATAAAACAGCAACTAAACATACTAAACATGGCAGAATGTATCTATCAAAGAGAAGAGTTTTAGAGATGCAAATCTGGTTATGGAGTGTAAATTCCATCTTCTCCTTGGTGATTGCAGTGAGGCTTCATCTTTCTGCCATTTTTTTTTTTTTTTTTTTTTTTAAACACTCGGAAATTAATAAACAAGCTTTATTCACTGTATTGGGTTGCCTCCCAAGTAGCGCTTTCTTTTACGTCTTGCAGCCGGACGAAGAATCCATTTACTCCAAATTGGAGCCTACGGTACCCAAGGGGGTGTCATCCACGGTGTGCTCCACAAAGTTCTCATAATAGGCCTTCAAACGATGCCCGTTCACCTTAAACTCTTGACCTGTTTTGAAGCTACGAACTTGGACTGCACCATGAGGAAAAACGTTAGTAATAACAAAGGGTCCAATCCAACGTGAACGTAACTTACCCGGAAATAGACGAAGACGAGAATTAAACAACAACACTTTCTGTCCAACAGAGAAGGACTTGGTGCGAATCATCTTATCATGAAAGGCCTTCGTCTTTTCCTTGTAAAGGCGAGCATTCTCATAAGCTTCATTCCGTATCTCCTCAAGTTCATTCAATTGAAGCTTACGATGAATTCCCGCTGCATCCACATCCATGTTGAACTTCCTCACGGCCCAATGAGCCTTGTGCTCCAACTCCACAGGTAAGTGACATGGCTTGCCATAAACAAGCCGAAAGGGGGACATTCCTATGGGTGTTTTGTAGGCGGTCCTATAAGCCCACAATGCATCTTCTAGCCTTAAGCTCCAATCTTTTCTTGTTGGACCCACTGTCTTCTCAAGAATCTGTTTTATCTCCCGATTCGACACCTCGGCTTGCCCGCTTGTTTGAGGATGATAGGGTGTGGACACCCTATGTGTAACGTTGTACTTCTTGAGCAAGGCCTCAATTGTACGATTACAGAAATGTGAGCCTCCATCACTTATAAGAGCTCGAGGCATTCCGAACCTAGCAAAAATGTTAGACTTCACAAAATCTGCAACTACCTTGGAATCGTTAGTACGGGTGGCTTTTGCTTCCACCCATTTGGAAACATAATCCACCGCCAACAAGATATAGAGAAAACCATGTGATGAAGGAAAAGGACCCATAAAATCAATGCCCCACACATCAAATATTTCAACAGAAAGTATAGGGGTTTGTGGCATTTGATCCTTAGCATTTATATTACCCATTCTTTGACACCGATCACATGTAAGGCAAAACGTCCTAGCATCCCTAAAGATGGTTGGCCAATAAAACCCACATTCTAAGACTTTAAGGGCAGTGCGTTGGGTGCCAAAATGTCCCCCACATGCATATGAATGACAAAATGTTAAAATAGATTGAAACTCAGATTCATTCACACAACGTCGGACAATCTGATCGGGACAAAATTTCCAAAGGTATGGGTCATCCCAAACATAAAACCTAGCATCCTTTCTAAGCTTATCACATTGATTCCTATTAAGTGTGCTAGGGGTATGTTTAGACACCAAAAAGTTCACCAAATCTGCGTACCAAGGCTCACTTACCTGGATAGACATTAATTGTTCATCGGGAAAAGTTTCAGAAATTGGCATTGCTTCCTCATGCACCATTCGGCTTAGGTGGTCAGCCACCACATTCTCCACGCCCTTCTTATCCCGAATCTCAATGTCAAACTCTTGTAGAAGCAACATCCATCGAATCAATCTAGGCTTGGCCTCCTTTTTCGTGAGCAAATATTTGAGAGCTGCATGATCAGTAAAAATAACAACTTTAGTACCAAGTAAGTAAGATCGGAACTTATCTAATGCAAAAACCACAGCAAGTAATTCTTTCTCAGTGGTTGAATAATTTAATTGAGCATCATTTAGTGTCCTAGAAGCATAATAGATAACGTGGGGTTGCTTGTTCTTTCGCTGTCCCAAAACAGCACCAATGGCATAGTCCGACGCATCACACATTAACTCGAATGGAAGGCTCCAATCTGGAGGTGTGATAATAGGAGCCGAAGTGAGAGCTTCCTTCAAGTGCTTGAATGCCGTGGAGCATGCTTCATCAAACTCGAAAACCACCTCTTTTTGAAGCAACCGGCATAGTGGCTGTGAAATCTTGGAGAAATCCTTAATGAAACGCCTATAAAAACCTGCGTGGCCAAGAAACGAACGAACCTCTCTAACCGAAGTTGGAGAGGGTAAGTGGCGAACAAGGTCTACCTTAGATTTATCTACTTCAATGCCTTTTTCAGAAATGATATGGCCTAGAACAATACCTTGCTTAACCATGAAGTGGCATTTTTCCCAATTAAGTACAAGATTCGTTTCAACACAACGTTTCAAGATTAAAGTCAGATTATTCAAGCAATGATCAAATGAATTGCCAAACACGCTAAAATCATCCATGAATATCTCAATAATCTTCTCCACATAATCAGAGAATATACTCACCATGCATCGTTGAAACGTTGCCGGAGCATTGCACAAGCCAAATGGCATGCGTCTATATGCAAAAGTGCCAAAGGGGCACGTAAATGTTGTCTTCTCTTGGTCCTCCGGAGCGATCACAATCTGGTTATATCCGGAATATCCATCAAGAAAGCAATAAAATTCATAACCGGCTAACCTTTCCAACATTTGGTCGAGGAATGGTAATGGAAAGTGATCCTTCCTTGTCATGGCATTTAACTTCCTGTAATCAATGCAAACACGCCAACCAGTCACAACACGAGTGGGGACAAGCTCTTGTTCTTCATTCTTCACCACTGTGACGCCAGACTTCTTTGGAACAACCTGCACAGGTGACACCCAACGACTATCAGAAATAGGATATATAACACCACAATCAAGTAATTTTATAACCTCCTTTTTCACTACTTCCATCATAGGTGGATTAAGGCGACGTTGAGCTTCACGAGATGGCTTGGCTTCCTCCTCCAAAAGGATGCGATGCATGCACGTGGTGGGACTAATGCCTTTGATATCCGCCAAAGTCCATCCAATGGCAGATTTGTGCTCTTTTAACACCCTTATCAACTTGTCTTCTTCTTGAGCCGTGATTAAGTTTGAAATGATGACGGGTAGCGTTTGATCTTGGCCTAAGAACACATACTTCAAGTGACTAGGTAATGGCTTTAACTCAAGTGTAGGTGGCTGCACAGTTGATGGAAGTAACTTGTTAGTCAAAACCGAATCTAAAAGTGAGATTGGAGACTTACCAGAGTGGAAGGGCAATGACTCGAGGGCAGCGACCATTTCAAGTACTTCATCACAAGGGGGCACGGCAATATGGTCAGATTGCATACCGTGGGTTGCCAAGACTCCCTCACACTTATTTCTTGTTCCTATGCCGTGGACTAAGGCTACCTCAAGTGCATCTTCGTTCATTTGATCCAAATGCACCTGTGCCAAAGAATCAACAATATCAATAGCAAAACAAGAATGATCCTCAATTGGATGTTTAATGGTTTCAGAAAGATTAAAATGAATAATGTCCCCATCAAACTCCATGGTCAATGTTCCCGTATACACATCAATCTTTGTTCTTGCTGTTTTCATGAAAGGACGGCCTAGCAAGATTGGCAATGATGGAGCATGGTTTGAATCCTCCATGTCTAAAACATAGAAATCTGCGGGGAAAATAAGGTGATTGACCTGCACTAAAACATCCTCAAGGACTCCCTTGGGATAAGCGTTAGAACGATCGGCCAATTGAATTATAACGCCATCTTGTTTTAACTCACCAAGGTTCATTGATGCATAAATGGAATAAGGCATGACATTTATGGATGCACCTAAATCAAGCATGGCATGTTCAAAACGATTATGTCCAATCAAACAAGGAATCGTGAAACTACCGGGGTCTTTGCACTTGGTAGGTAGTTTACGTTGCAAAACAGCGGACACATTCTCGCTTACCTTCACTACCTCTTTGTTTGCCCTTCTTCTCTTTGTATTGCATAGGTCCTTGAGGAATTTAGCATACTTTAGAACCTGTTTGATTGCATCGAGAAGCGGTATGTTCACTTGCACCTTCCGGAACGTTTCAAGAATGTCCTTCTCGCTTTCTTCCTTTTTTTTCTTGCATGAACCTGCGAGGAAAAGGTACATTGGGCAGATTAGGACGTGAAGTACATGAATTTGAACTTAAATTACCTGATTTGGCCGAGTTAGGGTGATTGGGGGCCTGCGGCATTGGGTTTTTCACTCTTTCCGTGGGTGAGCTAGACACTTCCTTAGGTTGTGTCGTCTCTTCATCTACTTCCTGGGCAGATTTGGGATTGTTTGGCTCGGTCCCAACTTCTTTTCCACCCCTTAGGGTGATGGCCTTGGCGGATTCGAATCCTCCCTTTGGATTGACTGTGGTTGAGCTAGGAAGCTTTCCTTTATCTCTAATCTGTCCAAGGAACTCAGAAATCTGCCCTATTTGTTTCTTCATATCCATCATCTCCTTCTCGTTATTTTCTATCCGGTTGTTTTGATTTTGCAACCCCTGCGAAATAGAGGTTAGTAATTGCATCGCTTGATTACTTTCCAAGGACGTACCTGAATGAGATGATGTCGAAGGTTGTTGGGATTGTTGGGGTGCATACGGCTTGGAATAAAAACCAGGGGGGTTTGGCCTAAATCCGCTTTGTTGTTGACCTTGTTGGGGATCTCGCCATTTGAAATTCGGATGATCACGCCAACCGGGATTGTAAGTATTAGAAAACGGATCACCACGTGATTGGTATTGGTTGCCATATCCCACGGCATTGAGTGTCTCCCACCCTCCATTCTCGATCAATTGTGGGCACGTGTCCGTAGGGTGTCCTTGCATGGAGCATACTCCACAAGAAGCTACGGTTTTGACTTTTGGACCTTCCACCACCTGAGAAAGCAACGTAGTAAGGTTAGCCATTTGATTTTGAAGTTCGGTTATGGCACTTACCTCATTGACTTCGTGTTGCCGTGGGGGGTCTCTTTGTCCAAGTCCTTCATATTGTTGTGCATTTAGAGCACGGTTTGCAATTAGGGTCTTGGCTGCCATAGGAGTTTTATCCACCAATGCACCTCCCGTCGAAGCATCGAGCATTTGCCTTTCAATGGGAAGAAGGCCCTCATAGAAGTATTGAAGAAGAAGCTCCTCCTTCATTTGATGTTGAGGACATGATGCAACAAGGGCTTTAAAATGCTCATAGTATGCCGGAAAAGATTCTCCTTGACTTTGTTGGATTCCGCTAATTTTCTTCCTCAAGAGAATGACTCTTGAAGTAGGGAAAAACTTCTCCAAGAACGCTCTCTTCATGCTTTCCCAAGAAGTCACTGTCCCGGGTGCCAATTCATAAAGCCAATCCTTAGCCTTTTCCACAAGAGAGAATGGAAAAGCTTTCATCTTCAAAATATTCCCATCAACATTAATGGGTGTCATGCTTGAGCATACAACTTCAAACTCCTTCAAATGCTTGTTTGGATCTTCCATGGACAGCCCATGGTACTTAGGAATATGATGCAGCAAGCTTGACTTCAATTCAAACTCATCGGTCTTGCCTAGAGCCGCCCTAGGATATTGAATACATAGGGGTGCGGCATTGTCCAATCCCGAAGCGGAAAGTTCTTTGATTGTTCGGTTGTCTGCTGCCATGTCTACTTCACCCTCTGTTCTCCTGGGTTTCTCTTCTTCAGATTCAGCAACGGACTCGGAGCTTTCACTTGATTCGCTAGGTTCTGGGTTCTTTCTCTTTCGTCTCAATTCTCGCTCGAAATCGGCGTCAAAGACCGAGATAGGTTCACGAATTGGATGAGAACTCCGAGTCATAAACTAGTACCTAAAACAAGAAACAAAACAAGATTAAGAATCTAGAATAAAATAAAAACAAAAGAAAATACAACAATCCAAGAGATTAGCAAAGTTGCTAATCCCCGGCAACGGCGCCAAAATTTGATGCGAGATTTATACGCACACAAATTAAACCCTCTTTTTGTCAATTGTAGTATAAGTATAAGTAGGGATCGTTCTAAACCGGGGATTAGGAGGGATTACTAAATCACTTGGAAACTGACTCAAAAATGTAAAACAAACATTAAAACACTAAAACAAATCAAAAGACTCAAAGAATACAAAACACTTATAAACACAAACTAAGACACTTTCTAACTAAATTGGACACTAAAGTAAAGGGGGATTGAGATTTTGACGAAAATAAATTAAATGCACAAATTGTAATTTAAAGGTAGAATTTAAATATGAATGTGATGAAATATGGAATGAATGCTAGCTAAGGGGTTCTTCTCCACACATGTTATACTTGCATACAAGATTGATTCTCAGTTGGTCTTTCGATAAATTATGAAACTCAACACTCCGGATTAATTAGGTCCGCTTAAATTAACCGTCAAGTTTTCCTTAAGTTAATGAATTGGATGGGTTTGCGCAACGCAATTCACAACATTCTCCAAAAGTCCTTTACGTGAACAGCACAATAAAGATACAATCAAAGATCATTAAGTATTATGAAAACTATAAGTGTTGACGAGGCATTCGTTACTATGATGAGCATGAAACTCGTGCCAAGAATTCATTTAACGCGATTGTTTATAAGCAACCTCCACTACTTGTGAATATAAGTTCATAACGATTAGGTGAAAATCACTTATATTCTAGCGTCATATTTATGCATGAAAATTAAGCGCGCATTCTTAATAAACATTCATAAATAAGTTATCAATCAAACGGTTAAACAAATTGAATCCACAACTTATGAAATTCCAACGAAAGTTAATCAATTCATATTGCAAATATAAACATAGTTTCGAATCACCCCCTAGCTAAAGGGGGATTAGTTCCTCATACCTTTGAAATCAAAGAAACACCTAAACATTCCAACAACTCAAAACTTGAATTGTATGAACGTTTAAGCACTCTTCTCTTCCATAAAACAAAGAGAATTAAAATGAAACTTTGAAATCAAAGAAACACCTAAACATTCCAACAACTCAAACTTGAATTATATGAACGTTTAGGCACTCTTCTCTTCCTCGTTGTTGTAGCACAAGGTTTAAGGATAGGTTGGTTGGGGGGATGGAAGTGTGGAATGGAGTGGAAATGGAGAAGATGGAGAAGATGGAGAAGGGGAAGTGTTTGTGTATTACAATGGAAAATGAGATGATTTGGTGAATGGAATGAATGGGTATTTATAGGAAGAGAATGGGTGTTAATGGATGTTTGTTTAAGGTATTTGGTGGATGGGAAAAGGTGTGGATGGTGGGAATTATGGTGGATGGATGGTTTAGTGGATGTAATTTAGGGTTTATTTAGGTGAATGTGGATGCATGGTTTAGTGGATGTAAAGGATAATGGGATGGTGTGGAATTAAAAGCTAAAAAAAATGGGATAATGGGCATTTAAGTGTGAATGGAATGGTGGGATGCACTAATGGAAATTATGGAATGGAATGGTGGGATGCACTAATGGAAATTATGGAATGGAATGGTGGGATGCACTAATTAGGAGGAAGAATTAGGGTGAAGGGCTTAATGCATGGATTTGGGCCAATTAGGGTGAAGGGTTTAATGCATGGATTTGGGCCTAAAATGCTTCCCCTTGCATGGCAAGGGAAAGGACTTGGGCTAAAGCCCATGGCAATGGCTCTAAAATGGGCTAAGGTTAGGGTTTAGGTCATCTAAAAGCCCAAAGCCAAGAATAGAAACTCACGACAATGGAAACCTCCAAGAATAGAAACTTCCAACTTTAGAAACTTTGGTTACCAATTCCGACTTCCTTGCTCTTCACTTTCATTTCTTCATTTCTTAAGCTCCTTTGACCTTCAACCTCGTTCATTCCTCGTGCTCCATTTGCATACACCACATTCCAGCTCAGTTTTGCTCCAAAAGCTCCCAATTGCATCATTTCATGTAATATGTCCTTTAAACCTGAAAACACATGAAAGTAGCTTAAAAGACTACTTTAACGAATAAAACATAACAAAAATGCATAAGAACTAGCTAACTAAGGCGCATAAATATGCTCCTATCAATAAGGCATAGAGGATCCTGTCCCCTGGGCAATGTGGGACACTATAATAAAGTAGCATAATGTAATTTGTACGACAGGAATGGGTGTAATTGCCTAATTCAATCTAGACGATAGGATTGGCACCTAACTTGGATCTAAGGCGAGGAATGGTGCGGATGTGAACATACACGTGAAGGACTGGCCCTGGCCTTAGCCGGAGTACTAACACCAAGGTGCAGTAGATGAGCATGTACAAATATGTATGAATGTCATGACTGTAATATCTAAACCATATAGCAGCATTTATGACAATTCATATCAAAATAATGATAATAGGCAATATAAGTGAAAAATGAAGTAAATACGCATTTATGGAAACTATAACTATGTATAGGTATAAAAACAAACTGCCCACTCACAAGTACGTAATCAGATCGTAACCCCCCGAGCTTTCCCTAACTCCTCAAGTCCTCGGGATATGTTTCCCCTATATATGAAATAACTATATATAAATTAATTAAACACATATATGGAAACCTAAATAAAACCCCCATAGTTTGATGAGCCATTGATTATACTTCTTTATCAATGATTATATTATTGTGGCATTTGATATATCATGACTTGGCATATTTCTGGTTATAATGTTGTTGTATTATTGTTTACATACTTATCTAATATGTTTTAAGGAAACTATACTTCTTTTACGGCAGGGGTTAGTATATTCGAAAATAAAGGTTTTCTTACAAGCATTGTTTTGCTGACCCACTTAACTTTGTTTTTCGCCCCTCCAGGATTAGATAGTTACACTTTTTGTGGCGCTTGAGGAACTTTTGGTAGTTTTGACATTATCCTCTTTTTAGACGTATGAACTTATCCACTATTGTGTAATAAGTGTACTTTAGTTACTTTGACTACTCTACTGTAGTCTTACTGTCTATTATGCTCTAAATAGTTGTAGTGGGTTCTTCCCACGACTGCGCACTCTTTCACTGTTGAATTTTAATTAGTTCTAATTTAGTTTTAATTTATTCACTTCTCATCACTTACCCTTATGGTTACATCACCTCACGGTGATGACCAGTATGCTTTAACCTTCCTAGGTCGGGGTGTGCCAGCTTGGTATCAGAGTCACTCTGCCGTTCGGTACGGATGTGCCAGCGAGGATGCCGTGTTCCCCTTAAGTGGGGTGGATTGTAAGATCCCACATTAACCAACAAAGAGGGAGTGATGTGCCTTATATGTACATGTTCCCCTCCCTATAGAACAAGGCCTTTGGGGAACTCATGAGCTTCGGATCCCATAAGAACTCTGAAGTTAAGTGAGTTTGGGTGAGAGCAATCCTCGAATGGGTGGCCCTTCTGGGAAGTTCTCATGCCGAAACCCAAAAACAAAACCGTGAGGGAATGGTAAGCCCAGAGCGGACAATATCGTGCTACGGCAGAGTCGAGCTGGGATGTTACAATTAACACATTAAATAGCAAGCTAGGTGGTGCAAATTAACTAGGTACAATAGTTAAAAAAAAAGGGTAAATTACCTTTTAACACCTCAACTTTGGATCGCATAACAATCTCATATCTCATGTTTTAAGGATTTCAATGTCATACATCAACTTACGAATTCCTTGCAATGTTAGACCTCCATCAAATTTTTCTATTACATTTGATGTTAAATGTTGACATGGAACATGTGGGGTCCATGCCTCGCCTAACTGAACTCCACGCTAGCTTAATTCCTTCACGTGGAATAAAAAGAAATTTTAAACAAAATCAAAAAAATTTAAAAAATTAAAATTTAAAAAAAAAAAATTAAAATTTAAAAAAAAAAATAAAATGTAGCAATGGTCTCTCAACTTTAACTCAATTGAAGCAATGATCCCTCAACTAAAAATCCATTAGCATTGGTCCCTCAACTCATCAAAATGTTCGACTATAGTCCCTCAACTAAAAATCCATTACCAATGGTCCTTCAACTTTAATCCAACTGGAGAAATTGTCCCTCAATTTTAACCTAATTAGAGAAATGGTCTCTCAACTTTAACCCAATTGTAGTAATGACCCTCCAACATAACTCATTTTGACAAAATTTTGACAAGTTGACGAAGTGACCTTAGCTACACATTTTGATGAGTTGAGGGACCAATGGTAATGGATTTTCAGTTGAGGGACCATTGTTCCAATTTGATTAAAGTTTAGGATCATTGCTACGATTTACTCAAAAATAAAATCGTGAACTATGTGCATCCCCAGCAAAAAATCCACCACCCTCTCGAGAGCTAATCCCTAATTTCCAGCAAAAAGTTTCCCCTGCCGCTCCAAATCTCGATCCTCACTTCCCATAAACACCATCTCGAGCTCCACCTCCTGCCTCCCCCGAATCTCACTGATCTCGGTCCATCTCTCTGGATCTCTTTGCTTCCTCCTCTCCATCTCAGACCTCTCGCTCATTCATTTATCTCTATTTGATGTTGGTTCCCTCATTTCTCTTTATTTGACAACGGCGACCATACCAT